TGTAGATATCTTCACTAAGATCTCCATTCAGGAACGCGGTTTTGACATCTATTTGCCAAATCTTGTAGTCATGGTATGCTGCTACAGCTAGCAGGATCCTAATGGATTTGAGCATGGCCACGGGAAAAAAGGTTTCCTCATAGTCGATGCCTTCCTTCTGAGTATACCCTTTCGTCACCAAACGAGCTTTATAGGTCTCGATCTTTCCATCGGGGCCCTTCTTCCTCTTATAGATCCATTTGCAACCAACTACTTTTACCCCAGAGGGCGGATCTACTAGAGTCCAGACTTCATTGGCCTCCATCGAGTCCATCTTAGCTCTCATGGCCTCCACCCACTTTTGGGAATCTATGTCCAACATAGCTTCCGCGTAAGTCACGGGATCCTCCTCACTAGTCAAGGCTTCCACCAGGTAACTATCCTGGTCATAACCATAACGGACTGGTGGCCTGGATACTCGGGTGGATCTTCTAGGTTGGTTACTACCTGGAACCTGCGGGACATCTCCCACTGATCTTGAGCTCTCCTCATCAAGAACTATTTCTTGACGATGAGTGTCCAAGATATAATCCGTCTCTAAGAACAAGGCATTTCGATTGCAGAACACTTTCTGCTGACATAGTTTCGGTTAGGTTAGTTTCTAGAGAAGGATGTAGAACGTAGAGACTGTTCTCTAGTTCCCCGCATGCGATGAATTTGTTGTTCCTTTTGATAATAATCACATTACTAAAAGAGACAGTATATCCATCCACACACAGTTTAGAAACAGAAATCAAATTTCTTCTTAGATTTTGTACATAAAGGCAGTCTTTTAGTACAAGAATACCTTCTCTAAAATTCCATTCTACAGTTCCTATCATCGTAGCTGCAACACTTGCAGAAGTCCCCAAGTAAAGTGTCACCTCTCCTTCACTAAGCCTTCTGCTTACTTTGAACCCCTGCAGTGAATTACACGCATGAGTTGAAGCCCTGGAGTCAACACACCAAGACACAAAAGTTACTAAAAAATTAGTTTCCATGACATAAGTTTCGAAAGTACCTTTCTTAGATTCCAGGTAGGCAGGACAATTCCTCTTGTAGTGGTCGGCCTGCTTATAGAAGTGATAGGCATCAGATGCCTTGTCTTTCTTTTGTTTCTTAGATTTGGTGGTCTTCTTTTGAGGCTTTCTCTTTGCCTTCCTCTTCTTTTTAGATTTGCCAGCTTCAACAAGCATGGCTATCGGCTCATCCTTCCTTATTAATTCCTCAACTCTTTGCAACATATTGTTGAGCTCTTGGATGCTGACATTCAGCTTATTCATATTATAATTCATAATGAACAAGTTAAAGGACGGAGGCAGAGAGTTGAGAATAGCATCGATCTGTGTGACCAGACCTAGCCCGGAACCAAGGGCCTCCAGCTCATTTATGTAGCCCATCATCCGAAGACAATGGTCATGCACTTGCTGCCCCTTAGTCATCTACGCGGTCATGAACTGTTTCAGGACCTTTTGTCGAGTAGAATGATTCTGCTCTTCGTACATAGTCTTTAGACTATCCAATATGTCTTTAGCATGTTCGATCTGATCAAACTGCCTCTATATCGGATTGTCCAAAGAGGCTATGATATAGCAGCGGGCCAGGAAGTTTTTATCCTCCCATTCTTAGTATTCTCTCCTTCGGGCCTTAGAAGCCCTGTCCCCGGACGATCCAGAGCAGGATTTTTAGCCACGTTATCTAGTTTTTCTGAAGCCAGGACCAGCATAAGGTTTTTGTACCAGTCAGCATAATTGGGTCCCTTAAGCTTGTTGTCGTCAAGCAACTTAGCAAATTGTCTGTTTGACATTTTCTGATAAAATAGCAAAAACAACAAAACGTTAGTCCACAACCTTAGTTTGATTCATGTTACCTACATAGATATGACTTTTAATCTATGTTTCATTTACATTTGTTCATCTCTGAGATTTGCCTCCTATCTCAGTGACGGAGATGGCGAAATGTCTCTGGAAATGTAGGAAATCACAGAGGGTGCGTGGAGCCAACTATTTCAGCTACATAACCCCACCACCTTTCTACGACGGATCACATCCACTCATCATATGAGTTTCCCTTTGGCCTCTGTCAGACAAGGTTCAGAGTCATTTTCAGGTAAACCTTTCTGTCCAGTGAGTGCTCACCCATCATATTCAGGTTA